TATATATATATATATATATATATATATATTAGATACGGTGTAGGAATTAGTCAGGATTGGGCTTATGTGGGGTTGCGAGTTCGGAATGCAGGCCTTCCCCACTGGAAGGACGATCGTCTTGAGACGGAGCAGCGCGCAGCTTTGGGCAACACTAGAAATGAACAGCGGCTACTGAGGCAGTGAGAGATGTGTTCTGTCTTGCTACGAGCTCCGCGTAACTCGTGAACGGAGAAGTTTGTTCCGAACGTCTGCAAACAGCGTCGCTCCGCGGTAGTACGCACTTGCGAATCGCAAGAGCGTCCTGGTGACTGGCTGCAGGCAATTGTTGTGTTCGTGTATTCAGAGTTGCTGAAACTCAAGAAGAATATTTAAACAAAAGTTCATTAGCACGCTCCCTGTCGAAGCAGCCTTTCTTTGACTCCGGTAAAGTGCTCATAGCCGTCAACCCTTAAAAATTCGCAAACCGTTGCAAGGAGAAACCTGAACACGTGTTACATTCACGCTGTATCTCATTTGCCATTCGGGCATTTGTATTCTGTCATTGTTCCCCAGTGCCAGGGTCTACACGAAATGAACATACAAGTTGTAGACAGAGAAGCACCGAGTTGAATGTTTGTCCGCCGTTCTTTGCGTTGCGCTTTAGACGTTGGCGTTTTGGTGCTTCTTTTTAACCGCCAGAATTCCTACAAGAAGTAGTGGCTGTGCCATGAAGACGAAACGCCGAAGGAAATATGCTTATAACCATTTTCGAATGCTTGCCGGATGAACGGCTCGAAACTGATCACAGTAGTATCAGATATACAACTATTTGATACGGTAGTGGTGTAGGCACGCCAGAATAGACAAACTAGGGGGTAGAAATACACAAGTGCCAACAGAACAAAACGAGCAAATAGCGCGGCAAATAGTTCCGCTATTTGAGTTGTTTGAACCTACACTCCAGCAGATGTGGGTCTGTTGCCAAAGTGTCTACAGACTTGGGATGCTAAAGCGAATTTTCCCGTGCAAGAAACGTGAAAAACGCTACATCGCTTTGTCTCCACGAGGCAAGTTGGCGTTAAGAACAACTCCGAACATAATATGTCAACTGCAAAACAGTCCTAAGGCCTTTGTACAGCCACCTATTAGTCAATTGCACTTGAACCTATGAAACGCTCGGATGCTTCGTTAGCGTTACTTTACGAGTGCCGTGAACGGCTCAGTAAGGATTACACACAAGTTATTCAGCTAGCTTAGTGCGGACGGCTGTTGCCGAATAGAGCATGGAGCGGCTAGCCATCAAGAAAAAGCCGTCATCTACTACAATGTAGTAGCTGCAGTGTTTGAGAAAAACGTGAGTAGTGCACTGAAGTGCACTAATCTTAGTGCGAATGGCTGTTGCCGAGTAGAGCAAGGAGCGGCTAGCCATCAAGAAAACGGCGTCACCTACTGCAGCGCCCTAGCTGCGGAGTAAAAGGTGAGCAGTGCACTGGAGTGTTTATGTGATATTAATAAAGGTATACTTCTTGAGGCTTCCCGCACCTCCCGTCTCGAAAACGGTGCATATTGCACCGAAACCCTCAAGCAACTATGTTCCTGTGTTTCTGCGCTTTCCGTCCGTAGTGCGGGATACCCTCAACGAGGTCCAAATTTCAAAAGTTCTGAAGTCAGCCTGACATAAATCGCTGCATAGGCATCTCCAAGCACGTGCTAGTTCCGTCCCACCTTCGTGGTTGCAATCGAACGTCGAGGCAGGCTGGCAAGAAACCAGCTTTGAAAGCCCCATCTGCTCCGAAGGCCAGGAATGGAGAACGGAAGAAAAGGATTGACCAAGGACAGCGAATAATGACAGTCTACTTCGTGAACGAAAAAACTAAAGATATGCCTGCCCGCTGCCAAGCTGCGGATACACCGCACAGCTGCTCCTCCGCCGGCGACCGCGCAGTTGGCCCATATGTCCTCATTTGATGATCAGATAGGCATTTGCTTCATTCAAACTCGGGGAATATTGTGCTGACTGGAGGCAACTCCAGGTGACTGATGGGAACCAGCAATGCTGCAGATGCTGGAGGAGTCGTCGTCGCCAAAATCTTCACATATATATATATATATATAGAGAGAGAGAGAGCATCCACATATATATAAAATGAATAATGTACATATCTACATACATGTACGGATTATATATGATGTGAATCAGGTTCGCGCCAGCGATACCCGAATTAGCTGGCCCATGGTTTCAAGAAGGCCTCTCGTTTTCGCCAAACATTCCTCTACGTTCGTGAGCACCTTGGCGCCTATTGCTTCACTGACAGCTTCACTGAAGAGCTCTTCTAGGCGGCGCATCTTCTTTCCAAAAGAAGACTGTACGGGAAAGTTGAAGTTTGCGGCCTCCGCAGCTATGTCTACTTGCCGTTTGAGCTCTTCTTCAAGGGCAAGAAAAAACGCAACCTCCGCACTCAACATTCGCGCTGAAGACTTCGCCCTCTGCAGAGCCGCAAGTCGACTTGTGTACTCACGAATATGCGCTGCAATATCCTGTTCACCCGCCATCTCGGTAAGCGCCTGCTGTTGTTCTTTGGCGCTCGCCAGGACGCCCTCTGCTGTACTTTCAATTCCGTACATTTCAGTCAACATGGTAGCAAGTGGGTCAGCACTCAGCTCAACAACATCATCGCTAGGAGCATTGACTCTGTCCGCGCGGAGTTTCTCGACTCGCGTACCGAGTTCTTGCAGCATGTCCAGAATGCTGCGAGACTCTTGGGAGACGAGAGCGTATTGAAGAGCAACTTTATCGGGAATGAGATCGGGGCTTCCCTTTTGGAGGACATCAAGATCGACCCCTACACCTGTTACAATGTCAAATGCGTTCCTCAGCCCACCCTCCGCTTGGTCCATGGTTTGTCCAAACTCAACAGTCGCCTGATACGCTGACTGCAGAGACCGGCTCCGCTGCAACTCCTCCATCTGCGCGTTCATCTCATCTCCTACCCCTTGCAATTCAGCTAATCTTTTCTCTAGAGAATTGCATGCATTAAGGTAGTCGGAGGGGTCTGTCGTCGGAGGCGGCTCACTCCTCTTCATCACGGTTTGCACAGCTTGGAACATGTCGCAGTCGCTCTCGAAACTCAACACCGCATCTTTCACTTCGCGACACATCAGCGCGTGCATGCCTTCAACCACTACACTCTTCAGCCGTGAAGCCACCGTTACACTACGAGATCCTGTCTCTACCAGGGCTGTGAGGTATCCGACTCCGCCAGCCAGATGTTCCAACTCAGCTCGGTCCTGTTCAGTTTCGTAGGCAGGACCGTTGCGGAGTTCATCGCTGAGCTGCGAAATGAACTCGGAAGTACTTTTGAATTCCTCCCGCAGAGACTCGAAAGCAGTGAAAGCGGATCGCACCACCGTGTTGTCATCGTACATATTAACGAGTTCTACAAGCGGCACATCTTTGTCTCCGTCCTTAACAGTCAGCACAGGGAACACGACCGTTGAGGCGTGTTTGGCTGCGAGACTTCCCACGTATTCTCTCCCCAACTCACTCAGGTCTCCTATTCGCCTATTGGCGGCCTTCAAGTTCTCCTCCAAAGCATGCTCTTCTTGTGGTTCTTTCAACTCTTCCACGGCCCTCTCGATTTCGGATTGCAAGGTTAAGGCATATGGTGTGCCGATAACGTCAGCGATTACCTTCGAAGTATGAGCAGCTTCTGAGATATTTCTCAGCCTGACTTCCAGCGGCTGTTCCTCAGCAGGTAGCTCGGCTGGGGTCGACGGAGCTTCGATTGGCGTTGGAGGAGGCGTCTCGCCCCTCGTCAAGAAGGTAAACAGACCCAAATAAAAAATCAGCAGGGAGAAGCCAATGGCCGCAACCTTCGAAGCCAGTTTCGGTCCTCCAGTCGTATGAACACTGGCAGGGAATACGCTCGCAGCGTTATCAACTGGTGGTGCTGGCGCCTCTACGTTCCCGGTACCGCCCTCTGCGGCGTTAGGAGATGCGTGTGAAATCCCTCCCTGGATGGAATTGTTTTCTTCCGATAAGCCAGTTCCTAAGCCCCAGTTCTCCTGCTGAGGTCCTTCTCCTTCTTGCCATGGTTTATAAACAGAAGGAAACTGGGGGGTTGCTGACGTCCACTGTAGGCAGAGCCGACAAGAAGAGAGGAGGAATAGGAACTCCCAGACAGTCACATGCTTCATCTTCCCTATCTGAAGATCCTCCACAACGTAAACTCAAAAAAACTGTTAAGGTAGAACCAACGCAGCGACGTCTCCCTGCGGTGCAGCATGCACCTCAGCATAGTGCAGCTCACCACAGCATCGTTCCTCTTGCGTCCCTGGGCAAACTCTCTACCAGCCAAGCAAATTGCAAAACATATTCACCAAATTATATCAAGTGAAACAATGGATAGCCCATTGAACTTCCAGTGCTCACACACTGCCACAAGTCAATAATGCACTAGGGCAGACTCCAACCCCGGCGCACCCCTCAGCCAGCGAGGCTTGATCAATTGTAGGCGGGCCCGTTTGAGTCTCGGGGACCCAGAGCATAGCTTTCGTTTACTGTTCTTGCTGATTGCTCATATGAAAAGGGGCTGCTCGGTTGAAGTCTAGGCTCCTACTGTCGAAGCCACACCAAACAGACACTACGCGCTGTTTAGCGTTGGTGCGCATACTTCTATTTTCTTGCAGGTCGGCTCCTGAGGGTGGAGTACGTACCCAACAATTCTATACTCTATTGGTGTATGCAACACAGGGATCTTGCCTGTGTTTGTGTGTGTTTGCGTGTGGAGTTGCCTACCACTTTCGCTAAAGCACGTATATTTATCTATATCGCTGTAGGTGCGTTGCAGCTCATGACAGGCCGCCTTCTCTCCACGTTTCACCCAGGCCCTTGGCCCCCTTTGCTCCCAGGGTGCTTGGGAACTGGAGGGGGAGTCACTGCTCTACTGCACTAGGTGACGGTCCCCAGCTAAGGTCGACGACTCCCGCCACAATTTGTAGCACCCCATAAGTTGTCGTTTCAGGCAACTACGGGGGACGAACTGCACATCTAGAGCTGGGCGGCGTAGTGTATAGAATTGATTCTGCGAAAGAAATGAAGCAAGCATACTCGTTCTAAAACTGTGCGCAAACTTAGCCCTTCTCTCGCAAAGGGGAGATTGATTAAGATGTACTATGCAGCGGGGAGGCTACGAACTGCTGGAAAAATCGCTGCATTGGACAAAACGCAATATCTACAGCCCCTCCGGCGGAGTAAGTCTTCACTGACCGTCTAGATATGATGGGGGCAGAGATTCGCGGGCAGTGGAGGAGCTCCGCGCTTGTATCTAGCTGTACTTTAGTTTTCAAGATGCATCCGAAGAGGTATAGTGGCTAGTGGCATCCTTTGTTAGGAGGGCGGGGTGACAATTGTGGATATATCTTGCAAAGGTGTCAATTTCCCCGGGCACATGGGATCCTTCCGAAAGACGCGGCGACAAAGGCCTATTCTCAAGTCGGCCAGGGAGCACACTACTGCAGAACTGAAAAAGCATAGCAAGACGAGCTTTTGTCGAGAGCTGCATCGTTCAACGCTGAACACGCTTCTATGTCAATTCCTCATTGCACGGTTGTCGTCCGGAGAGAAGTAATCGGTAACTGGCTGAACCAAGGAGAGTGAACAACGGAAAGAATGGGCTGAGCTCGCCGAGGTGATGGAGTAGGTATCCATTACAGAGAAAAGAAACGCCGCAACCGTTGCACTCGCCGAGAAGGGAGAAAACGGGTTGAGGACCAACGCGGGTAAAAGCCTAACGGCATTGGGCTTTGACTGCCAGCTTTGCATAAAAAAGCAAGAGTGCTAGAACAGACGGCGGCCGGCAGAGCCTGCGCTCGCCTGCAGGAAGTGTCGAACGGTGCTTCTGCTTCGTTGGCAACGAGCAAGTTCAGATAGTTCGAAAATGCAAGAGCATGTGTAGGGCGAAAGAATTGGAAGTGCAAGACTTCGTGGCGTGCTGTAAAGGAGACAGACACGACGACCAGGCAAACCTTCTGGCCCTTGGCTAAAGTACGACGCCGTGATGCGTCAGGCCGACGTGACAGCTGCAAAGTGAATCCAGAGCAAATACAAGTTATTATTAATAGTCGAGCTCCTGCCGCTACTTGACAGAGGACATTAATTGGATTTGATATCTTAAACTACAGCAACTGTGAGCAACCCGCCTGCTTGTTGGCGTAGTCTTCAACACTGCGCTTTGCCGACACCCGTGAGCATATGGGAATCGGAAAATATATTGGCGAAAAAATACCAGCTCGGGCCATATTGCCGAGATATGGATATTTACGTTGGACCAGTTCACCTCTGCATAGCCATGCTGCGGGAGATTTAGTGGAAGGCGCGCATGTGGCCTCCATGTGCGATGCCCATCTGGCGGGAAGCAATTGGAGAGCAACTCACAGAATTCCCAACAAGATTTTCACTTCGTAAGTGCCTCCCAGCTTATTTTTTATTGGGGCACTATGAAATAAATGTTCAAATAAAAAATAAGCTGGGAGTTACCTACGCAGTGAAGGGGCACTCTCGAGTGGGAAGCGCATGTACCCCAAACGCGAATGTTTCAGAAAAAGCGTGGCTTTTTAGGATTCAATCGAGCAAATGCCCGGAGGAAAACCAAACAAGGCGTAACCTATTTCCCGCGTTTACTCAATAACAATGCCGGCCTGCTTCCAGCAGGCCGGCCACCCGTTGGACGTCCAACAAACCGCATCGCACTCAATTCCGACGAGACCCAAAGCTTTGTTCCAAGGTGCATGCGACCAAGAGGAAATCCACCGGCAAGCAGACAACGTGGTAAGAAATGGAAAGGTTCAACCGTCAACCAGCACGTTCGGAGAGAAGCGGGTTGGCTGCAATCCCCTCAACAAGATCACGGTGAAGCAGAAGATTCCGATGCCGCAGATCGACGACTTCCTTGATAGCTTGCAGAGTTCAGCACTCTACTCATCATTTGACTCTGCTGACGCGTTTTTGCGCATCCCAGCACACCTTGAGGACGCGCACAAAAGTGCGCAAACAAGAACATGCGTGCCTGAGATTTGGGCTTGTAAATGCGCCTGCCTAAATGCAGATGCGGGTTAATCACGATTTAGTCTTGACGACGGATGAGGGAACCATGATAAATTCCATGGACGTGCTAGCCTCCATAGGCAATGTGCAGGAGCAGTTGCATCGCCTGTAGATTGCTCTGCATCCATATGAGCAGCAGTGGTTCATAAAGGCTCAAGAGTGTTCGTTTTCCCTACAACGAATGTGCTTCTTACAATTTTGCATTTCTGCGGAAGGACTTGAAAAATAACCGGCACCATAGAGGCTGCTCCCGATCCCCCTGCATACTCGCACGGACGTCCAGAAGTTCACTAGTTTCGCAAAATACTACTGCAGCTTCGTCGGTAGATTGCCTCACATATCCGCTTCTCTGGCAGGCCAACACGGAAGCAGCTGTCAGTCTTATTGGAGACAGACCGACGAAGACGCTGCTCGAAACATCCTTAAACACCCCAGACCGTATCGAGCAGTCGCTCTCCAGAATTTGGCAGACCCTTCATCCCCACAAAAGCGCCAGCGAAGCAGCAGTTGGGGCGATGCTTTCTCAGCAAGCCAAGAACTTGAAAATGCACCTTACAATTGCACAACGGTCCACGCAAAAAGGGGATGGGGGAAGTTTCCAATACGTGAGAAAATCTAGGGTGCCTGATGGGGAGTAGAAACACGTCGAAGTTACTTATACGACAAGCGTTGCGCCTTTCAAACCGATCATCAATATCTTTGATGCCTGATGAAAAGCTTCCAAGACTGTGATAGTCAAAGAGTTGTTCGATGGTGCTGCACATTCAGGCAGCACGCATTCGACTCAAGTGCGACAAGGGTTTCACCAACGTTATCGTGACGCACTGCCGTCACACCCTACTGGCCAGACAATGTTTTCTGCCACTACGCGCACCAGAAATGAGTTCCGTTGTCTGTCTGAATTGCCTTCATCTTATTCCTTAGATAATCACGCACATGTGATTCTTGCTAGGCTGAACAACGTGCGATGGGGTCATAATTGCCATTGACAGCGACCTCTTGCGGCGCCAGACGAAGTGTGGACTTTGCCTATCACCCGTCCCAGCTTAGCTTCGCTTGAATACTAGGCGCAAAATGCACCATCATGCTTTTGCGGGTTGCGGAGTCAATGCCATCTTGCGCATTCTGCCCATACCCACTAGGCGGATCTGGGTTGATATCTCACTGGACTTTATGGTATGGTGGGCTTTCCCTCAGTCAGAGACCGTGATGGCATGTAAGTTGCTGTGGGTAGACGCAGATAAACTCACTTCATCTCCAGTTTGAATTGAGTGGCAAATGAAGGAGTGACCCAGTTGTGTGTTCATCGCCTCCCGAATTTGCGCGGCTTTCCAATTAGCGTCATTATTGGCAGGAACCTGAGGGTCCTTAGCCCAATCTGGCGTACATTCATAAAACGGCTCAATATCGAACATAATACGGCAGCTGCCAGCTAGCTGGAGGCAGACGGTCAAAGCGAACTCACCTTCAGCTTGTGAAGCATGCTTGGTTCTACACTAGCAAGACCCATCGAAACGGCGTGACTTCCTTCCTGGTTCCGAATGGGTTTAAAACAAAACAGTACATGCGCCGGAAATTCTCCTGCATCCTTCATTACACTGGAATAGCCTTGCCTGACACGGCGTTGGGCTATCTTGTTGGCACTCAACCCCGTAGCTTCCCAGTCGCCTACTGGGATGGGCACTTTTGCAAAAGATGTTCGGCACACGTTTTACCCAGTTGGCTTGATTCTGATGGCTTTGCGTCATCTGATCAGGGCGGCATACAGCCAAAGATGTTTTCCGTGTTTTGGGTAGGTTGGTTCTTTGTGTTCTGGTCAGTATTTCGACTTACCATCGTAACGTACCCCTAGGATGGCGATCTTGCTCCACCATAAACGCCCACTTTCTACAACGACTGAGGGAACTGTCGAAATTTCTTCGAACTCTCCCCAAAAAAGCGATTGCAGTGTAACTGGCACCAGGATCCACTGAAGGGTACTGAGATCCTGGGCACACGTGCGGCGACTCGTAGTGGTCATATCCAACGAGAATGTTACCTTAAATCTCAAGGAGGCCTACAACAAAGCGGATTTATGAGGAGCCTCGAGGCAATTCATCTCAGCTGCTGTTTCTGCAAGCGTGCACGCGCACAACGCAAAGTATAGGCGCGCCATATGCATACTTATGCTCAAAGCCTAGTCGTCGCGAGTACGGGAGCGGCCACCTCTTTCTAGGCGTTCCACGGCGCTGATTACCCTATCTCTATAGCTATTGCTAACAGAGATCCGCTGTCGAAAACAGTAAATTCTTCATAATTTGGGTCTGGTTCCCGCCTTTGGAGATGGCAGGCCAGCCCACTGCTTCGAGGCTGGATGACAGTAGTTCATTACAGTTCTTATCGGGCTGTCATGCCCGCACAAGACCGCACTTTCCATTGCAGGGACAAGACACATAGCTCAGTAGCCTCCAATGGTAGGCTCGTTCTACCTCAGCAAGATAAGGTCGGCAACAACAAATATAAGCAGGGCGTGCTTATGTCTCCCTCTTAACATTATGCGAGTTGGCGGCTATTGCCCCCTTCGCATTTTCTTTCCCTCTCCTACGTACACCCATCGCTGGCTGGATGGTCAGGCAAGCGATGTTCTTTGCTGTTTCGGGAAAGGGCGGGAGGCAGATGTAGCACGGTCCGTCAATATGCCGTTGACATGCACATCTCTACTTGCGCGCAGGCTGGCTACAGGGGGTCAAGAATGTTGGGATGGTGGTAGGATGCTAGTGCTTTCATAAGAAAATGCTTATTTGCGCCTCCGTTTAGGGTTACCTTGAATCAGGCACCGCAGCGACGTGCGCTGCAACTTATGACCATTTGCTTCCCTAGTGAGAGTCTTCGGTGTCAGAAGAGGACAGCTGTGAATGCCAGTCGACTAAAAAACTAACGATGAGTGTTCCCAAAATGCCTCCCCATCCGGTCTCCCCTGCCAGCCTCCACGAGTGCTCTGCTCACCGGCTGAAGGGCCTAAGGGCTGCACGAAAGAGTGGCGGCCTGCCACTAGCTGCGGCAAGGTGTGCTGCATATAGTGCAGAGCAACGTCGCATGCAAATATGGGCAAGCGCTCTTTGATGCATGCACAAAGACCGTAGTCAATTGTTCAACACTTCTAGAAGCCAGCTTGCACGCAAGTAGAAGTGCCAGTGCAAACGCCCGCCAGAACAAGCACACTCAGCGCACATTACAGAAAAGACTTCCACGGAACATACAAAAATTTCCCTCTCTGACACCAGGGTCAAGACATTTTAGCTGAGGCGTAGATGGTCAAATCTGTTGGACAGCTTTGCGCCGCTGCGGAAGAAGACTCGCCCAGCCCCAAACACTGCAACTGTGCCTTGTTAGCATCGGTGTTACTAGGCACGAGCCCTTTGCTAGCTAAATATGTATAAATAAACGCATTTAAGCGCCTTGATATTGCAACTTTTGCCGATGTTCTTTTTCCAATTTTCAGCACCGTGGCCTATTGTAATGCCCGGCATTGCAGTGGGGCCCCTCAAGACCTGACCACTCATCTCCATGGCCGTAAAGGTTCGAGGGCATTGGGGGCTACCTCAGTGCACCTCCTTTAGCCGTAATCATGCGAGAACCACGGGAGGCAAGGCACTTCCTGAATTCCGAAGATTGAAGTTTTCCGCGATCCAAATTGCGCAGGCAGGTGCAGCAGCAACGCGGGACTCCAATCTCTCTGAAGGTTACCTTAACGGGACAGCAAGGGCGCGGTTGTTTGCTGATTCCAACACTGCAAGCGCTTCTGAGTCCAGACGTCGCAAAGGACAGGCTCTAAGCCACAGGTCCAGCACTACCAGCAGCAGAACGCGGGGCATGAGCAGCGGCAACAGCAGCAGCACTAGCAACAGCAACATTGACGACGGCAGCAGGCATGAGTGCAGCGGAGAGGATGCAGAAGCCCTTCAGGACGCAGTAGAAAGGTCTTTTTCAGTATTTGATGCCATTTGTAGGAACTGTCAATCACCGAACAGCCGCAGCAGAACTTTTTCAGCAACACAGGCTGCAAAGCCCACAAGGCCAGCAGTGACGGCGCAAGAAGACATCCAGAGAGCCGTCACTTCTACCCAACCGTTGTCGATTCCCTTCCCCAGCTCCAGAACTAAAGAAGGGCCTGCAGTTTTACTCTCGGTGTTGCGCGATCTCACCAATGCACGCGTCCGTACGCCAGAGGCATGGGCGCCACCTTTGCTGCTGCTAATGCAACAACTACCACTGCTTTGTTCGTCGGAACTGCAGCAAGCAACAGCATTGCTTTCTGCTGCCGGCTGCCGAGCGCCGCTGCTTCTGCAGGGATTATGTGAAGCCTTTAGCTGGCGGGCAGCGGCGAAGCAGACAGAAGCGAGTCAAACTGTTCTTTTCCTGGATTCGCTGAGACGACTAAGGTAACCTCGACCCAGACGTTTCTCTAATTCAAGTGGCAGCGGTTATGTCTCTTCGTCCAACCTGATGGCGTTTGGAACGGACGCTGCCTTCATCTCTTAGCCATCTCTGGGCTGTCTTTTTTCCCTGCGTCATGCGCAAGAGGCAGAGATTCTTTTAGCTTATGACACGTTGCTACCAATCTCCGACACTCTGCACGCCGTTCTCATGCGCGTTTTCGCACTCCCTGTCTATTTCTGGTTACTTATCTAAGCTTTCCTCCCATCTGTATATCCGTCCGCATGCCTTTCTCCGTGTTTTGCGTTTATTCACTATGTGTTTTATTAGGAGCCTATATGCTTTTTGCATTCATTTGTGCGTAGCCGTTTTCGCGCTTCGACTTTACAACTCCCCTACCCACTTGTCCGGCGAGCTGCCGGTGCTCCAGTGGTTTCTCGTTGAATTATTTGTGGACCTTTAGGTACCTGCCTTGTTTTTCTCACCTGCGTGTTTACTTCACTGCCCTGGAGAGGAGACGGAAAAGCCTCACCGTCGGCGACCTGCTGAAGATTCAACGGTTCCTCGTACGACTCTTCATGCGGTCAAAGCGCTCGGCCTTCAATCAAGAACAGAAGTTCCACATATCTCCTTCCTGCTCTGCTGCTCAGTGTTCCCGGCCCGCCTGACTCTACTATCCTTACTAGCGCTACTTGCACTTTAATACTTGCACTGTAATGCTAGGATGGCGGCACGTTCTGGTGCTAATGGAAATGGCGATGTTGGTGGCCTTACTGTCGGCGTAGCACTTCATTTTTCGCAAGTGTTAAATTTCTGTCCTGTCATTTGAGTGTGCATTGGGATTGAAAAAGAGTGATGTACGCCTGCCTCCACTAGCCTCTCATATGGTTAGCAAATGACGTGTGTGCAGTCATGCACCGACGGTGCCGAAGGATTTGCACGGCTGACTGGGAAACCAGAAGATAAATTACTAGATGTCCGGCATAATGCCCGTCCGCCATTGAGCGTTCAGGGCCATGCCCTAGCGTGCGGGCCTGCCTTGTGCACTGTGACTGTTGCATGATTTTGTTTTCCCTGGAGTCATGCAACGAAAGACAATATTACAGCTGTGGCTGCAGTGTTCCTTGCATGTATACGCTTCAGGACGAGCTGAATGTCCCTTCGGACCTCTCGAACTCGCCCTTCTTGGTCTCCGTCCTACCGCAACTAAAGCGAAATACTGCTGCTTTAAAGCCGCCCGAAGCTGCAGCGCTGGCGTCTTTGCTGCTGAAGAGGAAAGAATTGGACAGGTTGGTTATGTGCAGACATTCAGGCACTTCTCAGCTAGATTACGTGCGCAGAAAAAAAAACCAACAAACTATGCAACACTGTCTAGGAAGGCTTTGGCCCTCTGCATTCATTATCGGGGGATGCTTTTACACAGAGCACACCGTTCGACAGAGACAAGTATGCTCATCAACAGGAGCAGAAGCAGCATGATTAGCTGCATTGAAAAGCCTAGCTGTAGTAGCAGCAGTAACTGCAGAGCGACCACCTTGGCAGACCTTCACTCGTCACTGCTATAGATTTTTGTTGGCGTGTTTGATGCCTGGGCTTCAGCGAGACTGCAGAATGTCTGAGTGCTGCTGTGTACGAGCACCTCGGAGGGACTTCGTCGCTGTTGCTTTTGCAACAGGAGTATATCTCCTCTGCGGCAGCGGTGCATTACTCGCAAGTGGAAAGGCCGGATAATCTCAAGTCCCAGTATGAACAGCAAATGTTACAGCGGCAGCAGGAACGTGCTGCCTCCCCTTCCTCTCTGTCTTGTCTTCTTCATTTGGGGGACAGCCTCGTCGCCGCAAACCTCAAGCAGGTGCCTCAGGCCTTCTGTTGGGTCAGTCCCAGATGTGCTATCTTGACTACCCAACCTACGTTTGCCGCATTCCAAGGAGTATCCTGACACTGAAGGAGCATTGTTTTCACTTCTGAATGCACACTGGAAGCAGGATAGAGGCCAGTGACGAAGTAGCTGTAGGGGATGCAAAGGGGCTAAAGCAGCGGACGACAGTGACTAAGGGGCCACGCCTGCAAGCCCGCACATTGTGCCGTTATTTTCCTGTAGGCCTTAGAGAGAGAGGTAGAGCTTCACTGGGCAGCGATGACGCCAACGGAAGTCTCGGCAACCCTCAAGTAGCTTCGCACATCCGTATTTGTCGCAGCCTTTTCCTGCACTGCCTTGTGTCCCACTTCAGGACATAGTTATTCCTCTTCCTTCCTGTCCCCTTATCTCTTGCATATTCTGGAAAGCTGTGATGGGTTACTATGCCATATGGGCCGCACTCTTTTTCGACTAGTCTGCATTCGTTAAACACAGAGCCTGCATTCACTCGGACGCTTTCTCCGTTATTATGCAGTCCTTCGTGCGGTGCTCTTTGTCCTTCGCTATATGCTTCTCTGCAGCCTCCTAGCAAAGATGAAGCACCGACCAACTTCTCCGCTGAACAAACTGGGGTTGGCTGTACAGCAAAGTCTCCATCTTTATGCACCAAATTTGGTAAGATTGCCATGGTAGCACTGTCGTACGTAGTCTGAGTCGCGCGCTGTGTCACTCAATGCGGGTTTGCCCATGCCTTCCACGCGAAGACGGATGCCTCAATTCCGTGACCTCGCCGGCGCAGCAGCTTTCCTCTGGCTACTTGCATCTTTTGCATTTCCCCCTTTCTGCAATTCTGACGAGTTTCATCTGCTCTCCTTGTATGCTGAGCTACTCTGGTCCGCCGTTCTTGCCAAGTTTTTGATACTGCTGCTCTTCCCGTTACCGTGTGGACTCCGGCCTGGAGCACCACGGCTTGCAGGTGCAAGGCCAGCAGCACTTCGGTTGTATCCGTGCTGTCCTGTCATAAATGCTGCTGCTGCATGCTTGTCTGAGGACAGTTAGCCAATTCTGCTGTATTCACTGGTATTGCCGCTTCCAGGATTTGCGCCGGCATCGGTTTTGCTGTCACGCTTGTTCCACAGTTGTCAGGCTGCATCTCGAGCTTTAACCGTCTGCTCTATCGCCATCATTCCCTTCTTTCTTCCCTATCAGCTTTCCTGCTGAACAAACAAGTCGCACGTAGGTTTCGTTGGCTGCATGCTTTATGCCGCTATTGCAGTTGGAGGTTTCAGTGTACCAGAATCTGCGTACCGCTGTTCTTAATAGTCTCTCTTCAAATACGCTTGTTATACGTCGCAGAGCCTCAGCACCACCAGCAAAGGAAGGACCATCAGCAACGGTACCCCCTCCCGTCTCTCCGGTTCGTCGGTCAACTCTCAGGTGTGTCGGCAACAGTTCCTGCGGCGGCGAAGAGTCCAGCCGCAACAGGGACAGCAGCATTTCCTGTTTCGCCCCAGCACAAACCTGAACCGATGCAGCAGCGAGAGCACGATTGGGCAGCAGGGTCAGCTGCAGAAATGCAACTGCCACGACCACTGAGTCTTTGGGGGCTTCATTTCCCCCAGCGGCTCCCTCCTGACGCACATCTCCCCCCTCTACTTGCCTCGGAGGGGTACAGTTGCGAAGATAAGGCTGAAGCGTTGCCACTTCTCCAGCAAGAAGAGAAGACCAAGAACGCATCTGACTGTTTGGCTTCTATTTGTGGCTGGCCAGAGAACAGGCTACGTTTTAACGCAATCAGTGCACCAGGAACTTTAGCACAGACGGCAACGGCGCGCATGCCGTCACCTACATTGAAAGCGGAGGCTGGGACAGCTGCGGTAGCAGTCCCTGTTAGTGGTTTAGGCAGTTCGTGTAATGCAGGTGCCAGCATTGATCCGTTTCTTGCTGCTACTTTGCTGCAACATCTTTGTCACATCCAGCACAACAAGGATCCGGAGCTGTTGTCCAGGCTTCTTGCATCCATTTCAGCGGCCGCTGCAAGCTATGGGCAGCAGCAGCGCATGCAGCGCCTCTTTGGCCAAACCGCTTCTGCTCAGGTGCAGGGCAACCGCCTTGTCCGCGTACAAGCAAACTCAGCGGGTAGTCGGCTTGCAACTTCGGTTGAATCAGTAGAGCCTGTAGCTGCCACTGGCAAGGAAACTGCTACAACTGCTGTGGCGGCTGCCTCCCTTGAAACATTAGTTGCAGCTGTTCCATCAGCAGCGAATCCAGCCGCATTGCACGCAACAGGTGCTGCAGTGAGGAGGCGCTGCGGCTTCCCGATAGGCACCCACGAGCTGCGCGAAAGCTGGGCACAGTTTGCTTCAGCGGCGATCACTGCGGCAGACGCCTTCTCCCCCCGCTGGAAAAATTTCAGAGAAACGAACCTTTCAGGACCGACTGCGGAACCTTCTGGCGGGCAGTACCGTATACGCCGCCAGCCAGAGAAGGCAAAGCTGCACAATGACGCAGGATTGTCTAGGAGCCAATCGCAGCCTTCAAGCTCCCTCGCTATCCCCACTGACAAGGACACGATAAGGAGGCTGAAGGAACAAGGATTGCACAGAGATTTGCTGTTCGTAACTTTACCTTGGAGCTCATTCGTCTCTCAATACAGGAAAGTCATAGACATTGACGCAGGTCGACCGAGTCTCGGCAGTAACGATCGGCGGACTGGAAAGGGTCGCGTTACTGGGAACGGATTTGTGCCGGCAGGTGCAGAAGTTACTCGAACAGTTACACAAAGAGAGGTGAGAAGAGCTGGTGAGCTTTTCTTGGACGCATCTTCCTTTCTGTCGCTTGCACTTGAATATTTTGGCTGCGCATCCTCTCCTTTTTGCATCGCGCTCCCCTAAACTCGAAATGCCACTGCATCCTCTTCTCTATAGGTCTTTTTTGTTTCCTGTAGACTCGTAGATCTGCGAACGAACACAATCCACCCGTTTCGCTGCCAGCATTTCCTCTCACATGCGCATCTTTAAGCTTTTTCTCGACTTTTTGCATTCAAGAAGATGCGGCTGCGTTCCGAGTTTGGAGGAACGCGGTTCATGCCTAGGGTTATCAGACTACAAGTGAAGAGAAGGGGTACTTCGTTGTGTGTAATAGGCACGTTTCGCACATCTATGTCGCTTATGGGGTTCCAACGGGCCTCCTGGCCTCTCTAGGCTTCGGCGCCGCCATTTACGTCGACTTGCGAAAAAGATGAGAGCTGCAGTCTCTGGTGCTCCCCGCTCACCAGCAGCAGTATCAGAAGGGGCCGAAGGATGGTCACTCTGCAGGAATGGTCGAAAAAGGGCAGTTCAAGTATCATCTGCTGCTGGAACACATTCCATCACTGCAGCATCTGCAGCTAGGGGAGGGGAGAACTTTGTCAACGGAAATGTAGGCCTGTTACTGATGCGTCTTCTCGTCTTTATATCTCGCTGTTTCTGAAGAATTTGTCCTCCAGCCTTTCGTTAAGCAGAAGTATATAAGCAGGCATTGACTGTTAGCTAGCCGTTAACCCTGCCTAAGCTGAACGTACGCGTGCCTGATTCCATCTGCAGGCGTACCAAAACAGAAATAGACGGCAAAAAATATGCTTTCACCTGGGAGGATGCTTTGCTTTGGTGTTGCTGTCTGCTGTCCATTTGCAGTGTGCTGCAGATTCTATGAAACGCTGGGCCTGTTGTCGGCGCGCTTTTTTACAACCATTCCAGCTGGTGTCTCTCTTCTCGCGCCATTCTTTGCCGACAGTTGGTGTGGAGGCAGCGGCATCTGCAGCGAAGGACAACTCTGTAGAATCATCGTTGCTTCCTCTCACCGGCTTGGTTTTGCCGCCTCGGCAGCAGCTGCAACTCCCTTCGCAGCAGAATTTCCCCTTTGGCATTTCATTCGTCGAGACTGCAGGTACGCAGACACTGCTCATTGACACGGGTCCGCTGCTTGCTCCTATTTTGCCGAAGGATGCGCCCTCCTCTCTGAAAAAGCAAATAAAACACAAGTACGACGAGAGAATGAGGTATGCTGCACAAGCACAAGCGCTTTTGCAGCGGTGTCACCAACGACGTCAGAGCCTGCCGACCCCGGTTGTTGTTCCGTCTATTGACGCATCCAGTGCGACCGCAGCAGCAGCAAAACCAGCAGTTGTTCAAACGGTTGAACTGACGTCAACGCCAGTGCACCCCCCACTATTTCAATCAGCTTCAGCGGTTTTCCCACGGAATTCAGTTCAGTCGACTGCTGCACCGAAGTCCACACGGGCAAGAGAGGAGGAGCAGTACAGGAGCCGGCTCCTGCATGCCGTAGCGGACGCTCTGTCTGCAGCAGCTAACATGAGGGTATTAACTCTGCGAATCGCGAAACCATTTGTGGTGCAGCTGCCCTTGCTCTGCGCAGAGTCCTCATATGAGGCAGCAGGGATCTTCGCAGCAGCAAAAGACCTGAGTGCTTGTTGCACAGCTGCCGCTGCAGCATTGCAGACCCTGGGCCTGCGTTTAGAGGAACCGCTTTACTTCATGCATTCAACTAAAAGAAGGAATCCACGTCCTCCCGCTCTAGACTTAGCGATGATACGAGGAGAGCTTTTGATATCCCTGGAGATGGCCTTAAGGTAAGGGTAATCGGCCAGTTAACCAATTGACTGTCTTGCTGCTGGTAGTGGCAGCGGTGGTGCTGCGACTTGTTTACGGCCCAGAGTCTTGCAGTTGTGAACTTTGTCTTCAGGACACCTCGTTTCCTTGCTCTATGGCGGCAGGCGGCAGCAGATCCGGCAACGTTTGAGCATCTACCAACTCAGCGACGAGCCGAAGATAGTCCATACAGGCGCCTGCCGCATATTCTGCCTCAAGCTGCGTATCTCTACTCTGTTGTGTTCCAAGCACTGGTCAATGATGTGGAAAGTGAATCCGCACCTTCGGCGCTCGTAACCTCCTGGCAGCAGCAGCAGCAGAGTGCATTGCAATTCTGCGCCGTATTGGCGAACGCTATTGCCAAGATGCGTTGTGCCTCCATCCGCAATTCTCCGTCCTCGCTTGCCTTCATGTTGAATGCTTGCCGTTGCCTCTCTTCTGGGGCGACCGGTGCACGGAGTGTGGCGGAACAGCACCAGTCGAAGCAATCGCTAATGATGCTACTGCGCCGGACGGAGAAGGCGATCATGCGAGAGCTTGAGCAAGTGCTCACAGGCAACAGCGCTAACACTGAAGAGCAGCTATCAAAATACATCCGCTTCTCGGTAGTTGCATTGGTGCGGAGCCATGAGTCGACACGGGGTTGTACACTCGCTCCGGAAGCCCGAACAAGAGCAGCTGCGGTTGAAGAGTCAGGCCATCCAGCTGCCTTCGCGTTAGCGAATAAGGTGCACCTGACGAGGAGCACCATACACAAGTGGGTGAAGGAGGCTGCTGCGGCGGAGGAGCTTCGTTTGGAGAACAGTTGCCTGTATTAATTGTATGCACGCGTGACCTCGTGCTTTACTTGTGGGAGTCGCACGAGCTGCTGATTCCAAAAGAAACATTTATGTTCTATTTGGCTGTTTGCGATTGGATGGGCTTCGTTGGGGCTCCCGCTAACAGCTCAAGCACAGAACATTTGGTGCGCTGAGGTATACGTTGAATATATTTTTTGAGAGACTTGTTTTTGTTGGCTGAAGTGGTTTGGTACCGTGTGCCCACTTTTCCCTTACTTACCAGTTACAGTGATATTTCAAGTGTAAGTGCCAGGGAACTCGTCCCAAATCCCTCCGCGCATTGCGCAACGTCTATGTGCAATGTAGCTGCATGATGGAACGAGCTACTACCAATTTAGTTTCACCGCAAAAATTGAAGGGCGGAGATTTGGGCAATGCACACTGTTTCCCTGAGTCTGCGTTTCTGTCTTACTTCAATTGGTCCTTCGATGTTTAGGCCCTAGAGGAAGCCTTCCAAAGGCTAATGGTGCCGCAGTGTAGCACCAGGGAAAGCAAATGCCAGGGGCAGTGCACAGTAAATCCAACAACAGAAAAGCATACCCTAACTACGCCAAGCCGAATTACTGATTAGTGTTACGATAACACACTTATTTATATACTGCAGTATAATTTTAATGGGAAGGCATTTGTAGATTAACAATAACTACCGGACGTAATAATTGCGCGCAGCGGCACAGTTCGGGTGGACGAGCGGGGCGGTGAGTTGGGATACACCTGACGCTTCAAGGCAATCCCACACGGAATCAGGTGTGTTGGTCATAGTTTCTTACCAGGCATTCTTCTGTTTTCGTCATGAAGTCTCTCACTGCTGCAAGCTCGGTATGGAAGCCAGAAGCTGCGCGCGTACGAGGCTCGCTTCCAACAGCCAGTTGGTCAGAGAGCGATCTTTCGATGTAGACCTAGGCTGTCGGAGAGCAACAGACTGAATAGTGCATAGTTCTATTGTAAACCAATTCTGCACGAGGGGGAAATCCAGCCACTTCTTTGCTGGGTGCAAAATCGCGCAATACTGTAGGCGTGCAATTGGTGCGTTCAGTCATATCGTCGGTCACAAGGTGGTTCATGCTAGTCATGCTGCGGTCGATACTGAAAAGTTTCATAACTGCGCACCAGAAGACGCTAACGTACTTTGGGTTATTGCCGGTAATGATGCTTATGAGAGGGCATTGTTACCGTGGCCGTGGCGCTTCTAGAGACGATTAACCAACAGTTGGGAGACCCCCCATCTGTCAGTGAACTCGAACAGGAGATGAAGTGAATATATTTGCAGTGTCTATCCACAACAACGTAACTACCATCACCTTTGACGTGAGGCAAACGCACCATGGGGATTTTTTGAGGTAGCCGCCCAGATCGGCTTAGTATGAATCGGTCGAATATGCAATATTCCGGGCTTGACAGTGTACCGCGGCTTCTGGTGCTGCCTACACGCACAAGTGAGGAAATAGTTCTATGTTGCGGGGAGCAATCCAGGCCACCAAAAGGACCTGGCAACCTCAAGCACTCCTGCATTAACCCCACTGTGACCCGCGAATGCATGATGGTGCTTTTTTTGCGCTGACAGTTCACGCGAAGTCGATGTGGAACAGGCAATCGGCAATGCCTACACTTCATCTGGTACCACAAGAGATACGGGTGACGGGGTCACTGCACCAGGCCCTTGGTTGAGCTTAGCAAGAACCACAGCTGCGTGAGTATCTGAGGAGCAGGAAGAACGCAACTTATGAAGTCATTGCTGATACGTGCAGTTGTAAAAAAAATTATCTGACCAGTAGTGTGTCACTGCAGTGCATCATGACTCCGTTGGTGATGCCCTTGACACATTTGACTGTGAGTGCGTACTGCCTGAGTCTGCAAAGCCACCGAAAAACTTTTTGGTGGTCGAAGCCTTGAAAACTTTTCATCAGGCACGTCAGATATTCACGATCCGTTTGAAGGGTGAAAAGCTTTCCGGATAAGTAATTTCGACGTTTTTCTACCCCCTACCAGACAGAATAGATATCTCACGTTCTGGTTACTTCCCCCTTTCCCTTTCAGCGGGAAGCGGTGCGCGATTGTTTAGCGCATTTTAAACTCCTTAGCTGCTCCGAAAGCACTACCCCAACAGTTAAGTTACTGGCGTTTTGTGGGGAGGAAGGGTTTGCCAAAATGTGGAGACCCACTGCGATCTCCAATGTTTGGTGAGGCTTCTAGCAACCTCTCCCTCCCTCTTTTCCAAGAAAACTCCTTGTTTCGCTTGAGTTGGTCTGCCAGAAGGGCGACGATGTGAAGGAATCTATCGCATTTCGGATGGAGAAGAATACATTGTTATGTATATACTCATCTTTCCCTCATCCATTATCAACAACAAATCGTGTATAACCCGTCGCTACATTTTGTCACGTGCATTTACAAGCCCAAATCGCAGACACATGTACTATAGATTGAGACAGCAGGTAGGGAGCGCATTGTGGGCGTCGTCGGGGTGTGCTGTAGTGCACCGGCACTGCAATGCTGCACAAATTGGTCCTCTGCCGGCCTATCGAGCGGCAAGAGTAAAAATAAAGTCTTAATAGAAGTGAATCAAGTAGCACTGAATAGAAAAAGAAGCCTTGAGTCTAAGGCTGCTCGGCAAGCACCCCAGGATCGGGGATGGCTGTGAGGTTGGCACTGCCGCTGTAGTGCACGGACACTACCACAGGCTCTCCACTGAGCCACTATCTGCCTATTCCTGAGAAGAACACAGCATAAGGCAATATTAGATCATATCGACCGGAACTGTGACCAATGTGGTTACGAGTGCACACAGCCGTCAGGGTTTGGAGGCTGGCTGGGCCGCAGGTGCACTGACCCCAGTGGATAAGCAGCAGTCAGTTCTCTTTCGTCTCTCCTTTCTACACATTGGCCAATTGGGCTTGCGTTTAAGGTCAGTTATATGATTATTTAGGTTATTTTGGAGGGGATTCACTGAGTCCAGCGAATAATGTAGAGTGCGCAGCCTACATAGGTATGTATGAGATAACATGTAGCTGTGACAGGTGAGCTGTGCAATACAGCTGCCCAGGCGCAGACCAGCTAAGCGGTCACGGGGTTTTTGGTTTTCTTTTTAACATTATGAGAAGTGAATGCGTTCTTAAGGGTTCTGCTTGTTATTTTAGTTTAACCAATGGAAGATTCGCTGAGTGTATCGATAGATCCAGAGTGTGCACCAAAGTAGGTGTGTCATGAGTCAAGGAGACTCCACCTACAAGTAGAAGGCATGTTGTTCCCCCTCGCCTTTGCAAAGGTATCAAATCTTCTATGAAGCCTGCACGAAGTAGCGCTAGCAACGTTTGACCATCAGTATGAACTTGTACAAGTACAGCACTGCCCAGGGATAGCTGCAACTGCCAGAAGTCACTGCGCCACCCGTTTCTTGGAGGTCACGGACATTTGTTAACCGCTCTGTTTGTTATTATGGATGTGCTACTCGACGTCTTGCTTCTTTGGCTGCTTAGTTTTTCCATGTGTCTTTCGTATCACATTGCGTGACCATTGCAAAATAAGCGGGCTCGACGCTGCAAAAGCTTCCTCGTCTTTCTGAGTGGTTTCGCTGAGCGTCGTCTGTTAGCGCTTCCGATATATTCCTGGGCGGGGCTGGTATTCGTAGCCCCGATATCCATAGGCTTCATGCCCAGGTTATTTCGAAACCGCGGCGGGCTTAGTATTCCTAGCCCCGATACCTGCCAGCTAGGGAGGTGGAAGTGATTTCTTTCCTCTCCTTGATGCTTAGGTATTCTACAATCTCGGTGATTTTAATTGGATTGCTGTCAATGCCATCTCCACGGCCCAGCCGGTCACCGATAACCTTTCTCCGGGAAGCAGTATAGACTCCGCAGTTGGCCCTCCGTTCACGGACGAATGATACTTCTTAACGTAGAGCGCCATCGGTAGCTTCCCCTGTGCACGTTCTATCAATCCTGCCACAACCTGCTCCCTTGTTGGCTTGGAATTAAGCCTACATCGCAGTGCATATCAGAAAGCTTCTTCGCCCGGAAATGTTCCGGAAAATTCTTACCTTAGTCAGTTATAACGACAATTTCCATGCCTCGCCTTCTAATAAGGAGACGGCTGGTAGCAGGTGGGAACTCCACATGCAATTCGAAAACGAAAGTACAACTCGAGAGAGGCAAGGAACTCCCCCACTGCCACCACATCGCCGGGCTCGCCATCTCTGGACGGTCGTCAAAGGCAAAGGCATTCTTCATGAACTGTTCCTGCAGTAAGGAGACTTTTCACAGGATGGGGTGCACGTCCTGGGAATATTATAATGTGACTAGGTGTGCAGTGGCTTGTCGCTTGCCCAGACAAGGGCAAGCGACCAGCAATCCCGATTTAGGATGGGAAAACTAAAGTTTTGTCAGTTTGTTTTCTCTACTAGGCACTGGCATGGACCAGGCAGCAATGCTATGGTGGCTGTGGCGTTCGTCCCTCTCATCTGTCCCGATAAATCATGAGGTGCTATCAAGTGTAACGGAAATCCCCGAGCTTAATCGAGGACCGTCGCAAGGTACAGACTTAAGAAAAGAGTCCCCACCAAGCAGCTGACTTCCACGCCTGTATTCAGGCATCTTGGCCACAGCGGCCTAAAGGCCTGGATCTGGTGTAGTGGACAGCTCTCACGCACGGCTGTTACTACGTGTTACCCTATATGCACCTGCTTAGCTGCACACCCAAAATTTATCGCCGGACTCAGCGACTAACAGCGTTCCCTTTGAAACAGACTAAATATTCAAAGTAACAAGCCTTAAGACCAAGTCCCGTTCAACTTCGTCCAAAAAGGAGAGTCCAAAGAGAACTGACTGTTGTCTAATTCCGTTGGGGGTCAGTGCCTCAGCGGCCCACCCAGCCCCAAACCCTGAGGGCCGTGTGCTCTTGTAACCCAGTTAGCTACAATTCTGCTCCAAATGATTTTTATGAGATACGACAACTGCCATATATTGTGCTCTTCTCCGAAATAGGCCGCTAGGGGCTCAACGGGGAGCCCATTGTAATGCCTGTGCACTACAGCTGGTGTAGAGAGGAGACAGCCTGTAATGAGTTGCAACGGACGTCGCTGCAACTAGCCGTGCGACGCAACTCCATATGCAAACACTGCCAAGGCCGCGTTGGCGCATGCACTAGCACCACATGCAATTGCTAATCACTTACTTGGTCATCAATATGCGGCTTACACGCTAGGAGAAGTAGTTGCACCAAATTCGAACAGACTATGTTGCGTGCTGCGACTGGTGCTGCAAGGCAACGTCAAATACAAGCACAACCACGCAGGCTTTGCAGCACCCACTACCACTGTAAACAATTGTAAACCATTTACTTAGTGGATAGCCTGCATGCAAGCAGAAAAGCATCGTCCAACTTCAGATAAAGCTGCACTTTCTTACAACCCCAATGGCAGCCCCATATGCAAGCATTACCAAGCATCATTTGATGGATGCAACACACTAGAAATTTTGCGAACGCTTCTTTCGGCCTCAGCAGCCAATATACCTGCAAGTAGAGTGCATGTACGGACTTCACAGAGCATCTGTAACGAAAGTATCGAGGGTGTGCTACCCAATCCGAGGACCGTCGCCAGTTGCGATAGAGCCTAAGGCTTAAGGGGAGAGTTCCTAAAAACCAACTACCCTTCCGTCTCCAGGCGTTCTTCACAGACGCGCCAAGGATCTGGGGTTGGCACGGAAATGAGCGCGCCCGTCATCAGCTGCGCCACACCTACCTGCAACTGAAGCTGCAGGGCAGCCCCACGTGCAAACACAAGCAAGCCCTCATTGCTAACTGCACTACACCTATAAGCAATTGTTAAAGGTTTGCATGACCCTTAGAAGGTTGCCTGCACAACAGTAGATATGTATGTACCCACTCCGGACAGACCGTGCTACGGCATGCTCCCTTGATTTCCGTGCCAGGGGCCCTACGTGCTTATTCACCCACCAATCCACTTCTCTGATGCTGGATATGCGAAGACATGCAAGTTATATCGGGAGAAAAGTTACAGATCAACAGTTTTAGTCATTGTTATTGCACATATCTGTTTGGCCCAGTATAGGGTAAACAGCCCCAGCAATCCTCGTTCCCACAGTGTTGGCACTAGCCCTTAAGGAGCCTCCGTCGATAAGTGACCATCACGGCCTGAAGATTTTCGTATTAATCCTTCTTGTACTTATTATCGGTTTTCCAATAATTACAGAGCCCCGCAGAATGCCGGGCACCGTTCTAGAGATCAGTGTTTGTTCCCTAATATGCGTCCCTACGCCTTTTTTTTGCGTATTACAGCCTTCTTACCGCTTTTCTGCGGGCCCACTCCTTCGGTAGTTTCTTTTGATGATTCTGCCTCTCCATAACGAGATATAAGCTTGCTTCGAGCCCAATATAGAGTTGACTTGGCTATACCGTGATTGAGAGGGACGGCAATCGGGCGCACGGATTGCCTAACCACAGGAGGCGGTCCGTGGTTTGGTAAATAGTTAACGTCCACATGAAGACTTTATTTTATTGGCAGCTGGTCTGCTGCCGATAACGCCCCCATTGCAGGCAATCTTCCCTGCGTGGGTTCCCCGTTCAGGTGCCACAACTGATCTCTAGTAAGGGGCTGCACGTCCCTGGTGAGGAATTCTGCGACCTGAAATCGCTATGACAATATTGTCATATTCATTAGTGGTACATCTGCTGGTGGTTAGGGTTAGCCAACGATGACGGGGAAATTTAGTGCGGGCCTTCTCTGGGTCTGCGTTCTACTGCGGTACGAGCAAATGTTGCCAGCGACGGAGGCATTTCTGGCGCACATGCCCGCTGAAGACATGTGGCCCACTGCAGGCACTATGTCGATCAGTGAATTCGCTGAGACTCAAACTGACCTTCTGCTCGGGGCAAGCCTTGACACGTTTGAGGAGCGTGTAGAGAACCTGGCAACGACGGAGTCCAGAACAATCGGTAGTTCGCCCACTCTCGGCGTGCCATCTCCCAAACCGGAAGTGAAAGGCTCTCGAAAGCCGGCGGTTTTTAAAGGTTTAGGGGCTATTCTGGCGCTGGTTGTTTGTGTTTGGTTTCTGAGTGCTGATAAGAAGACAGGAGCTGTGTGGGAGGCAGGAAGCGCATTGGGGGATGAAGCATCTGAGCCTTTCTATGAGGCAGCAGAAGGGGCGTCAACACAAGACTATCACCTAGCAAGCAAACTGTTGGTTGACGATGAGCTGAAAGAACGGAGGAGACTGGAAAGGGTGCGAGGACTCCTTCCGTCGGCATCTCGGCTCGCTGCTGCAGTAGGTACAAATGAGGCTCAGAAGCAGCTGATCAATTTGCAGAAAGCTTTGAGCGCAGCATCACTCGCTGCAAAATCTCCACTGAACGATAATCGCGTAGAAGAGTCTCTTACCTGCGCCATGGATGCATTGCGCAGCCTTCACCGTACTGCCGTTCAACAGGCCACGGTGCTCGCACAGGATGGTGCCGAGGTCCCCGTTCTTTCTCTTCTAGATTCGGGAGAGCTTGAGGACTCAGTGAAGAACGAACTACAGCATGTTATCGATGACGAGAGCGTGGCACCCTTCACGGTGTATATGCGTTCACTGCAAGATAGTGTGATTGATATGTCTCGCCGCTTTGAACGTTCTCGTGAGCGCCTTCTGGCAGCGACCGAATTTACAGACGAAAAAGATGAAAATATGTTGGTTTCGGCAGCAGTGGAGCTTGAGTGGATGCGCACGCTAAGAGAACGAAAGAGGCAAGTCGTTAGCAGAGCAACAACTATGAAGAAGTGCGCAGTTTGTGGCATCCGGGTGAGCCTCAAATTTGAAGTAGAGGAGAGGATAAGAATAATGCAGGGGAGCGTAGAGCTGTTGGGCGCTCGCCTTTCTTTGATATCCAACGCCATAGAAGACTCTTTCGAAACCAGCAGCGCGCCGAAGCGTGCTGTGGAAGACACTGGCAAGCTCCACACCGTACGAAAGAAGCTCGCCGACGTCAAGGAACTGCTGAATGAAGTGAAGAAAGAGAAGGAAGCTGTGCATGTGAGCTCGTCAGTAGGGAGTGCTGCTGCTGCTTTTCGAAAGGCCGAACAAATAATGGGAGAGGCCCAGGCCATGTTGGATGATTGTTGGGACGCAACGAATGATCTGCCTCCGCCGAATCAGGAGCTAAGCACCGGCGACATCGCCATCTTGGCGCGTTCGGCTGCAAAGGCCCAGGCGATTGCAGATGAACAGAAAGCAGGAGTAGTTAGCAATGTAGCTGTTGTTTACAACAGATCTTCCCATGGCGTCCAAGAAGACGGCACAGTGGTGGAGAGTATCAAGCGGATTAGCCCACTAGTGGCTGAGCAGCTCCGCGCCCAAGCAAAGGAGACTGAGGAGCAGATGATGTGGCACTATCAAGACATGCAGGAAGCCGCTACACAGCTACAAACCACAGATGAGCTAACGGATGGAATGATCTTGCTTGGGAATGTTCACGAGCATGTTCCAAATCTAGTGGAGTGCAACAAACGCGCGGTAACGTTAGCGCTGGATAGCTACTTGTACACCCTTCTCCAGGAGGATATTCAAGCGAGCATGAAGGCCGTTTCCCGTGTCTTCTCGGGTGAGACGCTTTTCACAGGACAGAACAGAATGCACATTGAGCAGCTCCGGCGGGGCTTCAACAAGGCTAAAACAGCGGTTAGCACGGCAACCACTCTGACGGAGGCAGCGGAAGCTGCCGGAAAAATGAGAATGAATGCTGAGGGGTTGACAGATTTTGCACGTGATCGCTGGACAATTTGGCTAGACCCTTCGTGAGACCTGCGTCTCCTGCAATCGTAAAGTAATGGATGCTTCAAGGATGAACGGGCCAAATGGCCCAAATGGCACAGCTACCCGCAAAGTGTAATGGAACTCACGAGCCCATCAGGGGAGAATGCCACTAGGCCCGTTTGGCGGTGATGTGCACTTTCGTAGTCTGACCTAAACCGAACCTCCCTTCTGTAAACGGTTGAAGACGCCCTTCAACGTGTGAGAGGTTCTTGTAGTTCTGCCAACCTGAAAGTGAATTTCATGCTACTCAGTGTTGCAAAATCAGTTCCAAAAGAGGCGCCGACCATTCTTTTGCATCAGGTTCGTTGCGTTTGTTCTTCCTGTATGCCAACGAGCACCACAGCAAAGCAGCTACACAGGATTTGTCTTTTCTGCTCCTAGAACGGGAGTAACGCCTGCCCTTCGTAGAGGCAATTGTGCCTGTGAAGCGACCAGTTTTTTATTTGAACACCCCCTATGTTCTGTACTGCGGCAACACGCAGACTTCTTGCACTCAGACGCTGAGCATCATTAGTAAGTGCAGCGACCTAAGCTGCGTCTTTTTCTGTTGCTTTGTACCAGCCTCTACAGTGCATTTACGGTGCATTTGGTTGTGAATGGTGGCAACTGCAGCGATAGGGTAGTCCGTTAACTGCGCAGCCGCAGAGATCAAAACTTGCCGGATTGTCGTGAGAGTGGGCAGGGTAGCAAAAACTGCATCGATTGCCGATAGGCAGTGGCGTATGTGGCGTATGAGGCAACGGGTCTTGAGAACGTGCTGGTGCACAGCTTGAGCGTTGCCTCTTGTTCCGCTGAGCACTATTTGGTATTTCATGCGTACATGCACACATAGGGTCCTGCCCTGTTCATAGCAGTTGGTTCCTCCCATAGGGGCAGTGGAGCTCCAGGCGCCCGAGCATGGAGCTGCGCTACCGCGTCTCCACCGCAGAGACGCGGTCAGACGTGCGGCCGCGTACTTGGCGGAGAATAGAGTAAATGATAGGAATATCTATAACTACAGTATATAATAAGAAGGAAATATTAACCCCTGTCAGTCAAAAATCAAAAGTGCCTTCGTGCACCCCTGGTATCTAAAATGTCGAGCACGACGTTTTGGATCGACATTTCAGATACCAGGCACGACGCCCGCCAAGACAGCGTCAACGTACTGCCTGGGGGTCTTGTCCTGCTCCTTAGAGACAAAGCTGTGATTGGTTGGTTGTATAGTAGACAATTAATGTTGTTCCAACTCCAAACAAAGCGTACTGCAAGAAACACATGCGCACAGCCGCCATCAACTGTTCCCGTACAAATGTGTCGGGGAGCGACGATCCAACCGACAGGTGTGGCGGACCTCTATTGCTCCAGCGCACGCGACTCTTGAAATAATTACAAATAATTGTCCAATGTAGTCTGCAATTCACAGTAGGTCAAACGACTTTTTAAACTTCTATTTTAGAGGGGCTGCTGAGCTTCACTCACCGCATGCAATCTAAGCGGAGCACTGGTCACAACCAGTGCATGGAAACGCAAGCGTGAAAGCGTGGACAGCATTCAATGCCTTAAATATTGAAAAAAGCACTCTACGAAGGGAATATGCCAGATATGTTAAGGAGTGTACGTCGGCATCCAGAACAGATCAGTGCGTGAGCGATTTGTCCACCATTCCCCTTCGAGCAAGCCGAGAGATGCCTACACATCATTGAACCCAAAGCAAAACTAGAAGCAATATACCAACGGTTTAGTACTGAGCATCCTTACCAATGACGTGTGAGCGTGACACCCCAACAACTGAGGGTCCGTAGTGCACTGCTGATTGCTGGAGGACGATGCCAAGATCTCGAGGGTTGGGCCCACTATTCCTCGCGCTTCTCCAATTGTTAAGCCCGTCCAGTATTGGGCGTGCCATTGGAGCTTCTGTCGCCGAGAAGGACTGGCCGTCCCCTGACAGCATGGTCGTGGGCAGCGAGCCAGGGAATGTGTCCCGTGAACCTAGTCATGGTACTTCAATCACCGACACAAGCGTGGAAGCTTCTATTTCAAAGTTACCACCCAGCTCTAATGCGCTCTCGAATGGAAATATCAATGGAAGGAGTGCTGGAAGACCCACGCCGAAAATCGGCGGTCCCCGCAAATCAGCCATGATAGGCGGTTTGGGCTTTTTGTCTGTTGCACTGCTATTCTACTTGGGCTTTTGCACGACAGCCCACAAACTGAAACTGACTCCAGAAGAGCATTTTTTTTGGGAGTATGGCGCTGTGCACTCTCCCAGTCGGGGAGTAAATGAAGGAGCTTCACCGCAAGAGGGCCAGCCAACAGGTACACCACCGTTAAGCGACCAGACGGAAAAGATACGGAGACGATTAGACAAAGTAAAAGGCCTATTGCCATCAGCAGCTCGACTTGCCACGGCCATAGGCTCGGAGGAAGCCCGGAGACTTTTAGCCGCTGTTGAAGAGAATGCCAAGCCAGGAGGAATGGCTGAACGAAACACGGCGGACCATGACATGATACAGACGCGGCTTCACGTTGCTCTGGATGGCTTACGTGAGTTACACCGCATTGCGCTTCATGAAGGTGAGACGCTCTTGGGATATGATGCAGATATCCTTCCGGTTTCTCTCCCGGTTTCGCATGAAGGGCACGAGGACCTTTACTTGTTGTTGCAAGAAGGAGAGGGAAAAACTGTGGGCGCCTTTCTTAAGTATATACGCTCGTTTGAGGAGAGCATTTCGGATATGTCACGGCGGATTGCCGATCTTCATGTATCGCTGTCTCTTGAACCCGAGTTACATGATGAAAGCGATGGAGAGTTGCTGGTGTCTGTTGCAAAGAAACTCGAGTGTATACGTTCTTTGAAGAACAGAAGGGAGCGGTCAAGGGATAGGGCAAAGGAATTAGTAGTAGGCGCCACCTACGGGGTCAAGTTAGTCTTGCTTCACACGATAGAAGAGTCGGCTTGGAAGCTTCAGGGGACGCTGGAGGTGGCTCAGGCTCACGCTTCTTTGATACTTAATTCTCAAGGTGCATCTATTCATGATGATGATCAGACTGCATCACAAGTGGAAAGTACAGAACGCTTAACTGTCCTTATGAGCAGGCTCAAAGATGCAGAAACGTTGCAGAGCAAGCTTGGCACAGAGCTACGCGCTGTGAGATCGAGTGAGTCTATTGATACCGCATTGGCTGCATATGGAAGAGCAACGGGTCTAGCAGAAGAAGCTTGGGCCTTGCTGGCTCACTGCTGGGCGTTAGCTCAAGATCTTAGTATTCCGTCTTTCGAGTTCGACGGCGGCGAGTCCCCACTATTGCCTACGGCGGATAAAATCTGGCTGCGTGCCAGGGCAAAACTCCGTCGTATAGAGGAGACTCTGTTTCTTGTTCAAAAGATGTGCATTGCCAACCCATCCAACAGAATCACGGCGTCCGGGAGCGAGCATCTCAACCCTTGTATTGCGAGTCGCCTGCTGGAGGCGGGAAGTGCGATTTTAAGGGAATCGAAGAAGCAAGCAAAACAAGCTAAGGCATTTGAAAAACCTGAAGACGTGACTCAGTCAGTGGAAGCTCTGGCAGCTCTTAGCCGTGCGGAGGAAAGCGCCGTCAAGCTTGTATTTCTACACGGGGACTTGTTGCTTCTACTGCTATCCCGCAAGTTGCAAAACTTTCTTGAAGAAGACATTGAAGACTGCGTGCGGACGGTCATGAACTTGTACTCGAATAAGTCGAGTCTCGCAGGTCCGGACAAGAGCTTTTTAATTGAACTTGAAGAGCGTTTTAACGAAAGTTTGGAGGCTGTCCAGGAGGCAAAAACGTTCGAAGAAGCAGCAGAGGCTGCAACATTTGTACGGATGCACACCGGGGCAATTGAGGATGTTTTATTGGAAATAGGGAGGGACAGAAGTTGAGGCATCAGCAATCTCGGGCGTTCTTGTTTGTTGATTGCGCGGCGGCAGGCTTGCTATCTGGAGAGAAACCAAGCGCATACTGTCATAGAATATATGAGGCGAAGTATGGTGGTAGAGTTTCCGCTTTTGGGCCTATCAAAGACCTCCGTACCTTGAGTTACACGTGTGATGAGGACTGGTTGATGTAACGCCTCTGGGTGCTGGCTTGTTTAGAGACAGTGCCGAACGCACTAGTTGCTGATTGGGTCAGTTCTGAGCACACCATCAGCGGCTGATTTCGAGGTTAATCAGCTCGGTCTAGTTTTCACTGCAAATGCAAAACTACAGCTCAGCATTGTTGTGCTGGATTGCCGTGCGAAGCCCAGCTGGAAAGTGAGCATCGTGGCGTTGTCTTGCTGAGCTGCGTTGGAGAACAAGGCGCCTTTTTATTGGCTCTTTAGCCTTGTTTTTTGTCAGATATTTCAGAATAAATGTACATGCCTTTCCGGATTATCGTAGACAGTCTCCTTATGTGGGTAGCTGCATGAGGCTAGAGCCGCCATCTCATTGGAAAGAGCACTTGATTACTCCTTCCTTTACACTGTAATCTAAAATGCGTAGCAACTTGGAGTAAGGGTGTACTTAGCATTTTGCCTCCGTAGTCATTCATACGTGAAGTTCAGCGGCAATGTATCTCGGTTTCAGAGTGTCCTCCCAGATGGTCCCCCACTGGAAAACGACACGTAGCATTCTTTGATGCTGAGTCTGCACCTCCGGTTATACTTGCTTTGTTGGATATAAATGGCTGTATGATGCTTCACAAAAAGGTGTAACCATTTCCTAAGTGCGGTTCCCGATTGGCACGCTGCTTGGGCAAGTAAACACTCGCAGATCGACTAATGAGCCCTGCAGCATTTGTCCATAATCCGAGAGGTAAGCGGCCGCATGGGGTAGACGCGTGGAAGTATACTTACTTAAACTGCGTTCTGCTCTGCACCCCTAGCGGTGGGGTAAGGTCCGTTAGAAGCTCATCCGCATGAAGAGCTCCGGCACTTATCTCCACAGAAGTCAGGACCTCGACGAAGTCGACAAAGGTGTGGTGTTTGAACGAGCTTAGACAGGAAAGTGGACAAGCTGCCCTGAGCAGTGGGCAAACGCCAACAAATGCTGCAATCCTCATACCACTTTCTCTGCAGAGGAACAAATCTCTTCTGCTGTTAATTAGATGAAGGGTACGTGCCCCCTGTTAACAAAGTAGTTAGAATGGATGGTACGGAGCAAACAGGCATGCCGGTGGATGCAACCAACGTCGATCAAGGCATGGGAACCACAGCATGCAAAACGCGTACTACACTACGCTCGAGAAAGGCTCGCACTACTTGATTTTCGCCCGTGTTTCTTGTTGATTGATGTTCCTTAGTGCTGTCCTTCACACCGTGGAGCGTGCATATTCAGCCTTTCACGCAGGCTCTGCGCTTAGACTTGCGCACTTCCAGGAAGTCGACTGGCCACGGTGTTGCAGAAAGCTGCTGCTTGGTAATTCACGAGGCTGGAGATAGCAACCCCAATCGCCTGCTCACTATCGTTGCGCACACCACCGTTGTACGCCGTTATCTAGTTGCAAGATTCACAGTGCAATATGCCTGCTTGGCGGAGCCCCAGGGCTCTGCAATGTGAAGCACAATGCTTCACAGCACACAACACAGTTGCTTGCCGATTTTTTGCAGCCCAACTGAACTCACAAGTTGCAATGAAGACAGAACTCGCTGCAATGACATGTTTCAGAGCCAGAACGACCAATAGGATGCGGCTTGCTCTCTAGTTGTAAACGTTGCATTTGCCACAGATGCTAGCTTCTACGCGGGATCCAAAACATTCCCACATCGTGTCAATGAGCGTTTTTGGCGTCGAGCTGCTTAGAATACAATTGTCTACTAGCCAGTTATTCACACGACTGCCTCCAGCCTATGACACCATGACGTTCGGCAGTCATCTTGTGCGCTGCAGTCTGCTTCCACTTCATATGAAGACAAGCATACACCTAAACAGAAGTTCCTGCATATGGGACAGTGACCTGGAATGCTCGCGTGAGGAAATGCGGGCAACTTGCTATCGTTCCTTAGTTGGATGGAGTCTGCAAAGTAGTCTGCTGAACAGTTGGCAATACGGTTGTCCTATAGCCCCAAGAAGTTATTATTCATAACGAAGGGCTGTCTCTGCATGCCACTAGGCTTGCTCTGTGACCCATATGGGGCGGAGAACTACCGCTGAGGTCTCGGTGCCAACGGGAGTTCACCGGACTACGTTTGTAATAAAGAATGCCCAGTTACCTGCGCATTCTTTATTGCGAACCTAGTCCGGTACTATTCGCTGGTTGCTCCGCAGACAAGACTGGCCTCTATGCGCAGAAAAGATGCTTGCAGGGAGCCAAAACTTACACATTAAAGCCCTTAAGAGCTCCCGATGTAGCAGCATTACTCGATGCAGCTTCAGTCATAAGTAGTAACTGGCCCTACAGATGGATAAAGAGCAAATAGGCGAGACCTTTTTCAGATTGATCTAAACGTGCTGTGAAAGTGGCGGCTACTGTATTTCGCTTGGCATGCGATTCCCAACGCAAGAGGCAGCCAAACTCTGCACAACCCTCAGTGAGTACTGCAGTTATGCCCGTGTGTCATATTAAGGCAGAACAAGAAAATCTGCAGGGTGCAACTGCGCACTGTCCAAAAAGCTATACACGCAGAGACCCAGCAACTTGGTTAAGATTGTCGGTCACTAAGTTCTCTGGGACGTCTGGAGTACATACGAATAAAAAGAAGCTACTTCTTCACTTTGTCAAGTGAATGCTTCCAGCTCCAGTAAATCACCAGCATGGCCCGACAACATCGTAAAAGAGAATGCATGCTCTCCACGGTGAACGCCGGCATTTTGGTCGTCTATGGCATGCACAGTAGCATCCCAGAATGCATCAAGCTGAAAGCCCCATTTCTGTACACGAGATTTTTACTGTTTGCAGGGAAGAAAGTGTGCCGAATCTGTTCCCCTGCTACATTACAATCCGCCATGCAATATCCACTGATCAGGGAACACAAAATTCAGATACCACACACCAGAGGCACTTTGACTTTGCGCAAGCTCCCCAAACAAAATGGCAAAGTAGAAACTGGGAGGTCTACCGAACATCTACATCATTTGGAGCACAGAACGTACCATCGCATTGCACGGAACTGAAATGACATGCAAGCACACCCACAAATGCAGAAGATAAAATTATCCAGGCAGTTGGGGCAGCGCAGCTTCCTCGGATCCATGTTTACATTAGTTTGCGGCGCTGACTCCCCACCACATAGCGAGCAAAAAGATGGAGCAATGATGCTTCTATGCATTGCTTTACACTGATCATATTTAAAGATCAGCATGCAAGACACCAGGCGTCAATGAAGGTGTGCTCCCTTTGATGCTTCACCGTATGTTCTTCCACTGCCTCCGCATTTCCTGAATGATTGCTGCTGCTTCTAAAGCTACCTTAATCATATTTTCCTCCTTAGCTGCCTTCTTGGCGGCATCAGAGCTCGTCTGCAATCTTCCAACACACCCTGTTCGGAATGTGAAAGAGTTGCGCAACTTGGCGAGGAAAGGGAAGCGAGCTGCACGCTGAATACGATACCCGCGTCCAGAACCTTGAGCAATTATCCAGCATGAGCATATAGCACTTGCTGCTCAGCTCCACCATGGGGCTGACGGTGGCCGTCACTTTCTGGAGTTGACTTATCATTTGTTTCGTCTCGTCCAATCTATGCACCAATATTCTGGCGTCAGAATAGTGTTTTTCGGCCTTGTCAGCAATCTCCTTTGCGCATTCCAGAAGGCCAGTGACCAATATGTTATTAAGATGAGGGATTGGCCTGGCTGAAGCCTCAGGCGAGCCCGGAGGCACTGAGTTCGTTGTCTATATTTCGCGCAGCGCTACTCGCTAGCCCAGCTTTTCCGAGACGGCGCGCCAATTGGTTTTCAGGCGCACGTCCTTTAGCATACTGTGTATAATAGGACGGAACATTTTTCCCCTGCATGGGGATATTTCATGGCCACGGTCCAGCATTTCAACAGCAGTACGCGTGCTTTCCCTTCTAATTCCTCAGCGTTTCTCTTGGCCGCAAGTATGCCACCCAAAGATATATGCCGTTGAGCGGCTTCCAAATTTGCGCGCAGCATAACCAGCACCGCCTCTGCCAATTCTAGTTTTTCGGAAAGGGACATCACTTTGCTGTAGACCAATGCCCTTGTGCTTTCCTTTGTCGCCGTTGGTTCCGTCGTCTCCTCTAGCCGCAGCCGCATTCGCCTTGGCAATACCCAACTCGCCCTCAAACCACATCAAAGTGGTTTCGCGCCCTCCAAAAAGATGTGTTCTTACGACAGATAACATACTTTTCTCCAGCTTGATCGACATTTCTACTGCATGTCTCTTTTTGCTGGCCAAATCCCTCAGCCACTCAACTTTATCTGTAAGAGATAGTAAGGATCCTTCGTCCCTTTCGTCTGCAAATTCGCGTTCTGCGGAAAGCCCGCCACGGGCGTCACCTAACCGTCGGCACATATTCGAAATAGTATGGTGAAGTACACACAAATACTGGATAAACGAAAGCACACCCCCCAACTCCGCTTCTTTCTCTAGGGCCGCCACCAGCGCTATTAACTCCTCATTTTAATCCAGCTCAAAGAATGTAGGGCTTTTCGCCCATTCTCTATGAGCACTTCTGCACGCAGAATGGCAGTTCCATGCTGGGAGCGTAGGGCGTCCAATGCACGGTCAAGGCTCTCTGTTGGCTCTTGATTATCCATACTTTTGCCCACTTGTTGAAAAGCCTATTGTACGTTTTCTTTCAGTGGCGAGTAATATCTGGACTTCGTCTGATTTAACTGCTGAGGCGAGCCGCGACGCTGATCTAAGAAGCTTTCCAACCTCTATTCGCCCTCCGGCTTCTGCACTCGAGTCGTATTCGTCAGTTTCTTTTCCCCCCTGCATACAAATAGGTTCTTCTTCTGTTGCACCCAATGGCCGTCTTGAATCTTTCTACGGCAAGCGCATCCGCCATTGGCGCTTCTCGCTTGACATCTGCTCCCATAGAAAACAAGCAAAATAACAGCGCTAGGGCAGCTCCTAGCCCCGCTGCCACCGCCGAAGCCAGGTATCCCCCCAGTTCAGACTTGCGCAAAGCCTTCTAGACTGTAGCTTCAACGTCGACTTCATATAGTGTGGAATGTAACTATTCTAAAGGTTCAAAGAGATCGACGTCCATTCGCTGCATTCCGCCAGCACGGGTGTGTGAGGGAATTTGCGTCCAACCCCTCTACCATCAGATGCACTCCCGTGTATTGCATGGAACGACACACCATTTTATAAACAACCAAAGCCTACACTTTAACGTAAAACTCTCGCTCCCTAATAAGCAACTCATGTCTGGCATCTCACGTGTGCAACGGCCACGCAGTGAGAGCATGCCGCGATCAAGGCGTGTACTGTATACCTTACCAAAGCACGATCGAAATCAAGGAGGTAAAAAGAGACTCTTTCTACCGTACTATGACTGAGACCTACTAAGAGAGTACAGAAAAAGAAAGAAAATAGGAACGCCGAGCTTCCACTACAATAAATACGAAGCTACAGGGACACACCCGATATCAAAAAAAAGCGCTGGGATTGTCTTGTGATGATTCATGAACGTTGATGCATTACCATTCTCTATACAAGAACGCGTAGTACCTGGAAGAGATGGATGAGCTAAGCCGAGCCACGCAAAGCTACTAGACGAAACCCCGTAGAACACTTGTATGCACAACCTTGCAGAAGGGTGCTCCATAAAATGCAATCTGTATTAACAGCGAAGCAAATCCATAGCATCCCAGGCATACAAACCCACAAAATTCCAAATTCCATGGTGCATGGGGAGTCTCCTGAGGAGTTCCTCCCGTAGACGTTCCATTTCTGTACGGTTTCGAAGTTACCTCTGATCCCCTACTAGCAATCCCCATGTGGCACAGCATTGGGCTTCGACCGGTGGTAGGAATGCAACTGAGAACTGTGGACCTACTGGTGGTGCTATATGGATGCTCGTGACATTAACACCTTCAACAGCCAATACACACAGGGCCTCATTTATCTTCTGTATTGCCGTGGTCTGCATACTGAACTTCGATTTTACTCGACCGTTTGGCTCTGAGTCACTAGTTCAGCAGTGCGCATTGGTGTGAGGCAGCGCATTTGAGATCTGCATAAAGACTACTTCGGTCCCTTCCAACATCCGCACTCATTAATTTCTATGTGCGAGCTTGAGGCGGCCCTTCTAGAGAAGTCAAGTCTTCCATGCATCCATGCACTGCGCTGAATCAGGCAAACGAACTAACCTCCCTCCCTTCGGAACCGTTCTACTTACTCTGGAAGAAAATTGTTCTATGCAGACCCAGTCCACAAAATGCTGTATAGGCTGAGTCAAAATGCTAGGCATGTCCGCTTGTCTGATCACCAAAGCATGTCCCTCACGCAGAAATGGAGGTGGCGCGCCTGCAACTATATCTGGGAGCCGTAAGGACCGCGTTTGGGGATAAGCTCACATCCAAGCAGGCAGAGTAACCAGCACGCGGGTAGCAACCCACTACGCGCTGATTCTTTCCGGCTCGCTACCCTGTTCCGATCTTTCTAAAGGTGCAAAGAACAATTGTAGACGCCTGGCTATGCCTTCAACGTCGTCCTCTGCCCCATAGTCTACACGGCGTGTCGTGTCCAGGCTCGGCAGAAGCCAACGTGGCAGCATTTGTTGCACGCGGGCAAGACTATACCTCCTGTCCACAAGCAATATTGCTGCGTAGTCCTTGCTGTGACGAATGGCGCGGCCAATTGTCTGGTTAACAGTGATCATGCACTGCAACAAACCATAGTCAACGAAATGCTGCTCCCTTTGCTGCTGTTGCAGCTGCTTGGCATCTGCCGGCCAGTCGGATGGTGCCGGCTTCGCTTCTTCGGCTTCATCTGCCGTAGCTTTCGGATTAGTCATAATTGCATTATAATGCTCTTTGTGTAAAATGAATATTTTATCTTTTACAGAAGGAAAGGGCATGCCAACCACTACCAGAAGGCGTGCGAGTGCATTGGAGAAGTTCACCCCTTCACTTAGTCGGCCCCCCATCACGCAAAATAAGAATGCAGTCTTTGATTGTGGGGAACTCTCCTGGGCAGATAAGGCTTTGCACGTCTTGTCCTCCCACTGAAAACCACGTTTGCTTCTGTTGTTGCACGCAAGGTCCAAATTTCTCGTACACATTATACTTGTTGCTCTCCGCATCCCCCCTGCAGAATCTCCCCCTAAAACGGCACAGCTGTACAGTTGCCAAAGAGCCGTTCCGTAAGCGATGTGGATACCTGTGCGCACACAGCAAAGAGAACCACACGGAAGCAAACGGAGCAGAATTACGAGGAGCTCTGGAGATCCTAAGCATCCAGGTGTCACGGAAAATATATATATATATATATATATATAT